GCCCGGATGTTTAGCACTTTGAAACATATCGCTATGCCACACTTGTTTCGAAAATAGTAACACCATTTTTTTCCCGTCCTGTTACAAGGTTTTCGAGTTCTGCTTCAACCGTTTCTTGCTTGGCGCGATTGTGACACAACCGAAAAGTGGGGTTGAGATTTACTCCTTGGCTGTCGATGCGGACAGTTCATACCGAGCGACAGACTAGATCTATTTTCGCCCGTCACTCGGTGTGCACATCGTCACGCGCAACAGCTGCTAGTCTAGGAGATAGTCCTGAAGCGAACCTACGACCGCATCGCCATGAAGCCGGTAGATGACAAGAAGCACGCGCGAATCATCAGCATGTTGCGCAAAGGGCATTCGACTAGGAAAATAGCCAAAGTTCTTGGCATAGGCAAGAGCACCGTGCACGATTACGGTTTGAAGGTGATTGCCGAGACTAGTCTCGATGAGGTGCGACCCACAATGCCCACGGCCGGCCGCCCCCGCTTAATCTCAACCCGACTTCAGCGCGGAATAGTTCGAGCGATTACAAGCGGCGAGGCGAAAAGCAGTGTAGACGCCGCAAAGATGTTGCAGGAGAAGCACGGTCTGGCTGTAGACTCGAAGACGGTCAGGAACTCGTTACGATTCGCGGGCTTGATCGCCGTGCAGCAGCCCAAGAAACCCAGGCTCTCACTGAAAAACATACGTGATCGTCTCGATTTCGCGAGGTCGCATGCCGACTGGACGCTGGAGGACTGGAAGCGGGTGATTTGGTCTAATGTGACTAAGATAAACTGTTACTGCTACGACGGACGTGCGTACGCCTGGATTCGCGAGGGCACCAGCCTCCAGAGTCGTCAAGTCCAACAGACAGTTAAGCATGGGGGCGGTTCTGTGATGGTGTGGGGTTGCATGACGTATGAGGGGGCGGGGTTCATGTGCAAGATAGATGGCAGGATGGATGGGCTGCTGTATCGCAGCATTTTGCAAGATGAGCTCAAACAGACCATCGATTTTTTCAAGCTCCCCCCTTCAGAGGTCATTTTCCAGCACGACAATGATCCCGAGCACAGGTCCCGTCTGGTCCAAGACTGGCTTGGGGAGTAGGAGTACGCGGTGCTGGAATGGCCCTCGTCCTCCCCGGACCTTAAAGCCCGACCGGCAGGTTGCAAGTCAGTTCAGCTCAAGATGCATCATCTTGAGCACCTGTTACAGGGAAGCAATCGCTGAACTGTCTGAGCTGGCCAAGCTGGCTCAAGCTGAACCCTCTACAAACTTGGTAGTAGGGAAGTCCCGAGGGCAGGAAACAGAGAACGAGTAAACAAGTAATTCCCCACGCGCTGTACAATTTCTAGGCGTAAACTTGCGAATACACTTCCACTGTTGCGCGCTTTTTTGGAAATTGGAACCACTGAACGGATTTCATTGTTGTAAAATTGTCGTGGGTAGAAAGCGGGGCTGCCAATCTTTGAAAAAAAACTTTCAAGGCAGGAGTGAAACTTGGCGCTGCTGCCGAGTTGAACCCCTGCCAAATGAGAGGCACAAAACTTGGCACTCCTGCCAAGTTTCCAACCCTCACGACACTCACACGCAAGCTGGTACCTTAGCGAACACAAACCTTCGCCATAAGATTTCGTAAGATCTATTGCTCGTCAGCCAATCATCTGCTGCCGGCCCACCTACCTCAACAGTGTCTATATGCAACCTGCCGGTCGGGCTTTAACCCGATAGAGCACTTGTGGGCACACTTGAAAAGGCAGCTGGCGGCGTTCGAAAAACCACCTAGTGGAATGCTGGAGCTGTGGGAGAGGGTGCAGGAGGAATGGGACAAGATACCGGCGGAGGTGTGTTCTAACCTCATCGACAGTATGCCGAGGAGGATCAAGGCAGTGATTCACGCAAAGGGACGCTGGACTAGGTACTAGTTTTCCAAGAATCTAGTTTGCTGCCTGTCCTCGGTACAAATTGTCCGGATGTGCTCTTATGATATGCTTAGGTGTTTAAGGACCATGTATTATACTACTCTGGTGTTTGTTGACTTGAATGAGTGCTCTAAATTATCTTCTCCACATGTATGCACATAATAAATTAAGGCTTCATGTTTACGCCGCTGCACTCATCAAAATGCAAAAAAAGACTGAACATGTGGACAATTTTTTCTGTCACAGTAAGTACTGCCCGACGGCACCCAGGAAGACGAAGAACGACAAGGAGAAGCTAGGAAATGGGAAAAGTCAGTAGCATGTGGGGCCCCTACTAACCAGGCTTTGTCGCCCGAACTTCAGCGTTCCCACCAAGTTGTGGTACCAATACATGCTGTCGACCGCACTCGAACGAATAAGGGGGGCGAACCTGAAGATCACCCTGTGCTGGTCGAAGGCAAGGTGAGTGGTAAAATTTTAGAATTATTTGTGGATGGCGGGGCTAGTCACAGCCTGATCCACGTGACAAAAGAGAAGCATTTGAAGCTGACATTGGAGAAGTGCTTACCCGAAATTGATGCGCGACTGGTGGATGGAAATCCACTTGCGATTCGGGAACGCTCATGGTGCGGATGAAGACACCCATTCTAGGCTCCCATTCTCGTACTTGTCATTATTATTCCGCGCACTCTCAATTATTATTCATGACACGTTACATGTTCAAATTCTCAATGTCTCATGTAGTTTTGTCGTTTTTTCGGTCCACGTCGGTTCACTTCGGCAGTTTGCGCAATCGCGAATTTCTCGCGATTTTGAAACGCCACCTTCGTAAAAAATCTCAAGTCCTGATTTCTGCCGAGGGGGTCATTTGTAGAAGCAAGTTCCGAGATGTCTTTCTGCCGCTCTTCTGCCAAATTCCTTCTCTGTAGAGAGGGTCACCTGCAGAAGAGATTGTCGAATTGCTTTTTTGCCGAATTTCGGCAGAAAGCAATTCTGCATGAATGGATCAAACTGCTTGAAGTCCTTCTGTAGTGCAGTATCAAACTCCAACTTTGCTGAGGGGTCGGCTGCCGAATGTGTTCTGCGAGCAGTTCTGCAGACGATAGTCTCTCATGTGAACAACCCCTAGCATCAAATCGGCAGAGTCCTTCTTCACTCCTTACTCTGCCGAGGTCATCTCTACAGAGACCACATGTCGTAGAAACCAAACGCATAATAGTGCCCCTGTTCCGCCACATTGACAGAACCACTTTTCTGCCACTTCGACGGAAACACTTCTACCACTTCGACGGAACCACTCTTCTGTGATGAGCTTTTCCTGCAGAGCCTTGCTTTATTGACAAATCTGTTCTTCGTCGACAAGCCTTTGCGCAGGGCTTGTCTCCGCAGACTTCATTGATATGCCACTTCGGCAGACTTCTGCAGACTTCGCAGTATGAGGGCTATTCTCAACGGGGATTGCTTCCGTATTCTCGACTACTTCTAACTTTCCCCTGCCATGATCATGGTGCCAAGGCTCCCTGAGGGACGACATGACTTGGCGTTGTGAGTTGAGTCTATCGAACCCCAATCAGAGATTGTGCAGCTGAAGCGGTTTATCGACAGGTCGACAAAAGCCTCTGAATTGTCAAATATATTGCAGAATCCGCATTTCTGATTTGCCCAGCTGCTAACGTTCATGGTGATTCCGCGCTGCTGTTCCCCTTTTGTGGAGATGGCGTAGAAGGCTTATTTGTGGGTGGATGCAGTTTATTAGGCTTGGAGATTCATCATGAAGACCTACAAGATGACGGACGATGTATACATCGCTCATATGGAGCACAGTCAGGCAAGTTTGGAAATGGGAGAGAATGAGACCGCTGTTGCTTACAGCACTCGGTGCACATCAGATTAACGCAGTACTCGACTACCTCCTACGTGACATGTTCTCAACGGGATGACATCACAGTATAACTCTCTTCACGCATGTTGAAATTTCCAACCTTTCGAAAGAAGCTAGATGAACACCCTCACTATGAGAGGATGAGGTTTGTCGAATCCTTGAGCACATCTATTAGTTATACTATGTGTGCTCTTTTTATATTTCTTTACGTGACAAGTCATGCATTCTGTAGAATGTTTTGTCATCGTCACCAAATCTCTAGAATCCGCATGGTGCTTCTAGATGGTGTTCATACGGACAGCTTCACTCATCTCTAGAATTCTCCTATAAGGTCTTAGTTACCTTTCCATGGAGTTCTCGATGTATAAATATGATAGTTTTTTTGCTTGTATTCAAGACTTGACGTACATTCATTCAAGCTTCCACTAATTCCAGGACCTGTGACACTTGGAAATTAGAGTAAAAGGTTTATGATCACCGCTTTGTCGTTGGACCTCTAGGAGCATGCCAAGGATGGAGTTGAATTATTTTTTTATCGCGTAACTAAATCATTTTTTCTTACTACAGTAAGTTTCAACTAACCTCAGGGTCCCCATCAGTGGCAAAATGCGACGCCAACCATTCGATATTTTGTGTCAACGGAGCCTGTTTTCAGGAGGGTATACGTCAAAGACCATCCCATGTGGAAGATGTCTCCGAAGTACCAGCGAGCGTTCACGAGTATTTTTTGTCCTTCGAAGAGATCGACGGGAGCTGGTAAAACTTGTTTTGTGACAATTGTGAAAGCTTGCTTGGGTCACCTTGGCAAAGGCAGCGTGCTTCATTTCATATGGGCTACAGTACATGGTTCTCGTCCAATAGACTACACCGTCCAATAGGGTGGGTGGGTGGGGAAAACGAAACTGGAACTAGAAATGAAGAACGTGGGTGAGGTCGAATGGCCTCACGTCCCTCTTTTGTAGGCAAAAGAGGGTGAGTAGCGCTTCGACGCTGACCTTGCTGCGTTGGCCCTCGCTACACTTTCACAATACACATTTTTTAGAAAGTGTTACACGCTTTCAAAAAATTACATATTGTGAAAGCTTGCTTGGGTCACCTTGGCAAAGGCAGCGTGCTTCATTTCATATGGGTCTTCTGAGGCATGTGAAGCAAGGGCTGGCGGTGTCGCTCGATGGAGAGCTGGTGATGTCTGGGCGATGGAGCAGCGGACGCGTCTTGGATGCGTGTGGATGCCGCAAGGAGCTGGTCCTGCGCAATGGTGACGTAGAGATCTTTGGCCGTATCGCTGCGCCAGCGACCGAGTCGCTTGAAGAGCCGGTCAGGGATCCCCAAGTTAGCTGCCGCAGTTGCGGCGCCCTTGCGGAAGGAGTGAGTGCCGAGGTGTCTGTTGTCAAGCCCGGCCTTGGCGAAGGCTTCGAGGCACCAGTTGCGGATGGTTGTGTATGACGGAGCGCTGTCGTGAGGGGTTGCCCTGCCGCTGGTGCCAAAGACACGGATCAGTGGTCCATGCGGGGTGGTGGGGTGTCCCGCGAGTTGCAGAAACCGCTGGGTGCAACGGACTGGGCAGTAAGGCCCAGTTGTGGGAGCAACTGGGATCCATGAGCCCTTGCCGTCTTGATCCATCTTGGAGTGCGGGATTAGAATCCACATAGACTCCTCGTCGAAGTGGATGTCGTTCCACTGGATGGAGACGAGGTCGGAGTAGCGGAGGAATGCCGCGAACATGAGGAGTGGGATCAGTCCTTTCTGATATTCTGCCGGGCTGCTCGACTCAAGGAAGGGGTGTGCCATGGCGTGCACCTGGTGGAGCGACAAGGGTTCCTTCGTCCTGGTGGTGCACGGGCCGTGGCGTTTGGAGAATTCCCGAACTTGTGAAGTGAAAGGCCCGCTAGTGGGAGAGGGTTCTCCGGTCATCCGATGTGCAAATGCGACGGCGGAGCACGTAAGGGATATGGCGGATACTGTGGCCTGATTGTTGAGGGCATAGACAAGGTAGAGCGCTAGAGTGGTGTCTGTGGCAGGCAGGTAGCTCAGCTTGACCTTCGTGCAAAAGGAGCGGAACTTGAGCCAATACGGCTCGTAGGTCCTTATGGTGGATGGCGCGCGGACATGACTGATTACCCGAAGTAGCTGTGTCTGTAGTTCTGATAATAAGCCTGAAATACAGAGAGCCCAGGCACGGTGGGGTTATATTTTATATGTCACATGCAATGCAATGATCGGGCTATTGGGAAAACCGAGACCAGCAAAGGCGAGTGAGTGTGTGCCTGGGGATAGGCATTGGCTGCCTTGAGTGAGGGGAATATGTGCCTTTACTTCTCGTGCCCAGGTTCGTGGTGCTGGCTGCAGTAGGGGCCACCAAGAGGCTCCTGGCCACTCGGGAATGACCAACGTCAACTCGGCGTGGGTGCGTTGGGCGTGGTGCAGAGTAGCTGGGATGAGGTGGGGGGGGGGGAACGCGAAGCCGCGTTCATCATGCCAGCTGAACGAGAAGGCGTCAACTGCTGTGGCCTTGGGGTGAGGAATCTTGGAGCAGAAGCGCCCCAGTTGAGCGTTGTGAACATTCGCGAATAGGTCGACAGAGTGAGGCCCCAGGCGGCGGTCGAGGAGTCAGAACCATGGGGATTTGAGTGAGTAATCATCTCGGTCCTGGACTTTGGAGAGTTCGTCGGCGTGCGCGTTCAGCTCCCGGGGAATCCATTCGATGGCAAGGCGTGTCCGGTTTTTTAAGCAAAGGTCGATGATCGCCTGGCAAAGTAGTGTGAGTGCAGGGATGCTGGAGCCGCCTTTGCGCAGTATGAATACAACCCCCTGGTTGTCCACACGAACTAACACGTGCCGTTTGGAGATGTGGGTGTCAAAGGTTCTTAGTGCCCACAGTACACCTTCGAGTTCCCTTCGGGTGCTGGAAGTGTGTAGGAGGTCTTCTGGCATGCGGGAGCTTGCTTCTATTGGGATCCCAGGGAGCGGCGTGAGGATGGCGCCCCAACTGTGGGCGCTTGCATCCACGTGGATGACGGCGTCGAACTGGTGACTGAGATGAAATGGGGCGCCGTTAAATTTGTCGAATTGCGCCAGCCAGAAACATAGCTCTTCCACCGCTGCCGGGTGCAGGAAGACCTTGGAGTGCCAGGACGTTGCGTCGGCAATAAGTCGCAGGAGTTCGTGGCTGAATGCTCGTGCCGTCGCGCCCAGTGCTAGGGCCATAGAGGCGAGCATGCCTGTAACTCTTGCGAGGGATCGAACGGGAATATGCCTTCCTGATTGTCCTTGGGTTATCAAGGCCTCAAGCGTGGTTAAGAGTTGAGCCCTTCGCTCGAGTCCGACGGAGAACGTGCCGCGGGTGGAGTCGATTTCCAATCCGAGGAAGCGAAGCTGACGCGAGGGGTGGAGGTGCGATTTTTTGCCGTTAATGACGAAGCCAGCTGCGTTAAGGTCCTGGAGGACTGTCGTACGAGTCGAGCACGCTTGCTGGTGGGAATCGCAGAGAAATAATAGGTCGTCGACATACGGGACCACTCGAACGCCGCTTGCCCGCCATCGCTTGGCAACTTGTTTAATTAGTTGGGTGAAAACGAATGGAGCAGTTGCAAGGCCGAACGGCAGTGACCGAAAGGAGTAGTAGATGCCTTCGAACTGGAAGCCCAAAAACTGCCAACACGAAGGGTGAATCTCGACATGATGGTATCCAGATTTCAGGTCAATGGAAAACATCCAGTCATCTCGGCGGATGATCTCGGCTACACGATTCAGACCCTCGTACTTGAACTTGGGGGCTTCAAGGTGGGTGTTCACTTTCCGCAGGTCAAGGATGAGGCGGCATTTGTCGCGTTGCTTCACGACGTTCAATGGGCTGACACATGTTAGTGTGTCTCTTTTCTCGATCACTGCAGCAGCGCCGGTCACTACAAGATCGCGAATTGTGACGCGAGTAAAGTCGAGGTGCGTGCAGACTCCGGCATGGTTGTTGTCCTCGAAGGGTGTGGGGGCTGTATTCTTCCAGGGCAGCCAATACCCTTTAGCGATGACGGAGAGGATAAAGCTACTGTCACACCAGGAGCACCACCAGTGCAAGGCATGCCGCAGTCGACTGCGCATGATGGTCACGTCCCTGTCTGTAGTTGCGAGCTCGTAGGGATCGCATTCCTCTCGTGGCCACCCACTTGGGATCTCTGCATTATACGAGGTTATAAACATGGATTCATAGATGGGAGTAAGATACTGTGCTCGTGAGCAGGTGCACGATGCGGGGCAAGTGTAGACGGGGCATGACATGCTCGGACCGCACGGCCACTGCCATGTTAGGTGCTTGCAAGGTGCAAGGGGTACTCGTCTCTCTATCCGCCTTCTCTTTCTCTGTCGCTCTCTCTCTCTCTCTCTCTCTCTCTCTCTCTCTCTCTCTCTCTCTCTCTCTCTCTCTCTCTCTCTCTCTCTATCTCTTTCCCTCTCTCTCTCTCTCTCTCTCTCTCTCTCTCTCTCTCTCTCTCTCTCTCTCTCCCCTCCCTCTTTCTCTCTCTCTCTCTCCCCCTCTCTCTCTCACTCTCTCCCTCTTTCTCTCTCTCTCTCTCTCTCTCACTCTCTCTCTCTCTCTCTCTCTCTCTCTCTCTCTCTCTCTCTCTCTCTCTCTCTCCCTCGCTCTTGCTCTCTCTCACTTTCTTTGACTCCCTCTCTCTCTCTCTCTCTCTCTCTCTCTCTCTCTCTCTCTCTCTCTCTCTCTCTCTCTCTCTCTCTCTCCCTCTCTCTCTCTCTCTTTCTCTCTCTCTCTCTCTCTCTCCCTCTCTCTCTCTCTCTTTCTCTCTCTCGCTTGCTATTTCTCTCTCTCTCCATCTCTTGATCTCCCTCTTTCCCTCTTTCCTTTGCGTGCGAAGACATCACGCGCTGTGTTCGTACGTGAACATTTTTTTAAGCGCGTTGGTGCTCGTTGGTGGTTGGCTTACATTTCTTCCTCCTCCTTCTTTTGCTCTCCTTGTTTGGGCCACTCTTTGTGTTAGATTTGAGCTCCTAGACTCTGTCCTTGGCTCTTAAATAGTGCATCTCCGAGTGCGTGCGTGCGCACCATTTTGTTGGGTGCCGAGCGTGCCTCCATGGTTAGCTCTCGGGGCGTGTTGCGTGGTCGGCAAAGAAAAAAGTGAGGGGTCGGAGGCCATGCTCAAGGCTGACCAGCCATGTTGACTGGGTTTTGTAGCCCCCTCCCTCCCCCCAACCCCCTCAAGGGTTTTTTTTTTTTTTTTTTGAAAAAAACAGATGGCCGTGACACGGTCGAGCCTTTAATTCAATCATAGGAATTATTACAAGCCTAGGCCTATCAGCCTTTGCTGTCCCCAAGGGCCACCCTGGTCAGCGAAGACTCCTTGCCTTTGGCAAAAGGCTGGCCACCGGCCATGCACCTACCGTGCAACCCACTATGCCTCTTGCATGTGGGAAAGGGCGCCGCCCTATCAACCGCTCACACCACCGGTGAGGGACCTTGCGCACCACGCCCTCCCATGTGGCAAGCATTGGCCATGTGGCCTGGTTGGCCACAGCGAAAGCAGACTCCCTTGAAGCGCGGCTGCTGGCACGTAGCAGGGGGGGAGCCCTTGATGTCCGAGTCCGTGTCGCGACCACCGGGACGGCCGCCGCGCGTATAGCTGAGGCGTGCACGCTTGAGCGCTGCCACATCCGCGACCGCCAGCTTGTAGGAGCGGGATGTCAGGACACTTTTGGACTGATAGAGCTGGAACCGGTCGGCGGCCTCGAAACCGGCTTCGTCCGCAACGAGAAGGACTTGGAAACGCTTATTAATAAGTATTTCGATATCCTTTACGTTGTTGAGTGCGCCGACGACGTCGCCGTGCTGCAGCTTGAAGTCGATATGCTTCAGGTACGCTTCGATGGCAGTGAAGACCTCGGCCTGGTCGCGTACGCCCTTGCGCATGAAGGTAGTAGCTGCGGGCGTGGGGCCAAGGGGGGGAAGGGGGGGGGCGGGTGCGAGGATGCGACGACGAGCAATGTTGGCGGGACCCTCACCATCGTCATTTTCGGAGTCGTCGCTGTCATCGGGGTTGTCAGCGGGTGCGGGAGTTGGTGCCGGGGGCTGGTCGTTGGCGCGGGGAGCCTTGGGCGTGCGAGGATGGGTAGCCATTTCTTTCTTTTTGTTAAAATTGGTCGTAGGTGCAGCGTTATCGGATGAGGTTCCGACTGTAACAGCAGGAGCTTGCTGCTGTAACAGCGCCAAAAGCGCTTGCAGCTGGTGCGCAGTCAAGGCGGGGGCGGCGGCGGTTGGCGCGGGGTCGGCGGCAGGCGCGTGCTGGGTGGTGGGGCCCGCCTGGCCTGCAGGCGACGGGCCTCGGGCTGGCGCGTGGACTTCCGTTGCCTGCACGCGCGGAGCAGCGTGACTGCCGCCGAGCAGAATCTCGACTGCCGAGGGGCCCTCGCCAAAATTGTCCTCAGCGGGACGTTTCTGACGTCGGTCGGTTCCCCCGGGCGAAGTTCCGAGCGCCTGGGCGTTAGCGGGGGTAGAAATGTTATTCACCGCGCGAGCCGGAGCAGAATTGGCGGAAGTCATCGCGGTAATATTGTGCTGCAGAATGTAGGTGAGGAGCGTTGTCGGAGCTTTGAAGCGCGGAAGAGACTGGGTTTTCGCCAGCTTGGGCGAGAATAAGGAGACTAGAACTAGGACGAGAACTGGAAAACGAAACTGGAACTAGAAATGAAGAACGTGGGTGAGGTCGAATGGCCTCACGTCCCTCTTTTGTAGGCAAAAGAGGGTGAGTAGCGCTTCGACGCTGACCTTGCTGCGTTGGTCCTCGCTACACTTTCACAATACACATTTTTTAGAAAGTGTTACACGCTTTCAAAAAATTACATTTTCCAAGAATTTTGGACTTCGCGATGAATCTTGGAGTTGCGTCGGAATATGTGGAGCGATGATCTATGATAGCAGTGCGATGGAATTTCGACGTGTCAGATCGTCTACGGCGAAACGAACTGCAGCTGATGGAGGGCAAGTTTCAACGTGAGTTAAAACAAGTCCTTGCATACCGCACGTCCGATTGAGAGATATTCGGCATCTAATACTAAGAATTGCCACAGAAACGAGTCGAACTCGACATTCTATGCAGCTAAACGCGATGCAAGAATATTTTCAGATCGCTT